CTGATATGTCAAAGGAAAGGTTGGGGATTTTGTGCCACATCTTATTTTAAAATATAGTAGGAAGAGCAGTAGTCAACAAAATAGGTTAAAATAGGTAGATGGGGAGTAGAGCAGTGGAAATCCCCTCCCAAAACCACATATATTTTTGAAAATCCAACAAAGACAACTCTTCCTAAAAATAGGTAGATGGGGGTGATTTTCTTCCTATGAGAAGATGACTGTAATTTCTGTCACGTTTCTGAGCTGCTGAGGACTCTGCTTGCTCCTGTGCAGCGTGGGTCTGTGTTCTGGAGTAACAGGGACAGGCCTTCAGCTGGTATTTGAAAGGGGTAATGAGTTCCTGTTGTTTTAATAATGCCAGTTAATTTTAAGCCTTGAGTTGGTTTAGCCTCCTGTACTCTTACAACAAAATTGTTTTAAACAAGAAGAAAGAATTTACCCTTAAACAAGACACCACTTTGATATCCAGAAAGGAGAGTATGTAGATTAAATTAAGCTAATAGTTTTTGGTATGTGTTTATGAATACCGGAAAATTTTAGTGAAATTATATTTCTTGGAAAAACTATAAATTTCTCCATAAGAGACCCAGTTTCAAACAGGCTCTGCCTTTTAGTTGCTGTCACTTACTAGGCAAGTTGTATCATTTATTAGTGATTTATTAAGCACTGAACCTTACCTCTGGTGCCTTGTGTCTGTTGTGCAGTCAGCAAGACTTGCCACACAGCAGATTTCTAGATCTTAGATTTGCATCATCTCTGGTGGTCATGGCATGTGCTGTCACACAATAATGGGGCTTGATTTCTCATCTCCCAGAAATGAGTGAAACAGACTACAGTTTGTGAGACCAGACAGTCTCCAGTGACTAACAGGAATTGTTTGGCAAACCCTTCATTATATACAAAGTTAGATGTATTAGAACAATTAATACTGAAGGTGAGAGACTGCAAGGTGATTGGGGGCTTAAAGGACCTGACTTGGAGTGAGGCTTTGAGGACTGGCAGGTGAAAAATGGAGACCAGGCTTGTTGAGGTCCTATGGGAGCAGTGACTCCATGAGTTGGTTAACAGAACTTTACCAATTCAAATAAGGTATGGCATCTGAATCAGGGTTCTCCAGAGAAATAGAATCAGTAGAATGGATGGATGGATAGATAGATAGGTAAATGATAGATAGGTCATTAGATAATAAGGGATTGGCTCATGCAATTATGGAGGCTAAGAAATCCCACGATCTGTAATGTGCAAGCTGGAGATGCAGGAAAGCCAGGGTTACAGCTCCAGTCCAAACCCAAGGGCCTAAGAATGCGAGGAGTCAATGTCCAAATCTAAAAGCCCAAGAACCAGGAGCACTGATGCCCAAGGGCAGGAGAAGATGGATGTCCCAGCTCAGGCAGACAGTAAACCTGCCCTTCCTCCACCCTTTTGTTCTATTCAGGCCCAGGTGGATTGGCTGATGCCCACCTGCATTGGTGAGGGCAGTCTTCTTTGCTCAGTCTAGCACTTCAAATGCTAATCTCTTCCCTTACAGACACAACCAAAAATGTTTTGCCAGCTATCTGGGCATCTCTTAGCCCAGTCAAACTGACACATAAAGCTAACCATAATAATGTATGAAATGTAAAAAAAGGAGAATAACTAGAAATGTGCACCTAGGGGCCTTGAGTTTCATTCTCATCAAACTAGGAAAAGGATCAAGTTTTATCAGCCATAAGCATAGCACAGCACCTGAGGAATTACCCAATCTGTTTAAACAGTAAAGAGAAAAGGTTTAGTGATGAAACATTAAAAATAGTTAAGAATTTAATCAGTGTTTTTAAACTGTTGCAATGGAACCATTAAAAATGAATTATAAATGACAGACTCCTTATTTTTTAAAAATGACCACATTTAACAAACCTCCTTTAGAAACTCATTTAGTATACCAACACAGGACGTTTAGACACATTACTCCAAGTGCTTTGGGTACCTAATTCTTTACTTTCTAAAGGCCAGGAGCAAGTTCACTGTGGTTCATGGTGCTTTTTGATACCTAACTGCTGTTTGATGATCTGTTCCCTCAAGTTGAGAAGACCAAAAGATACACGTAAGAATCATAAATGAAATTTTAAAGTTTCTGAATATCAGAATCTCTGGAAATGAAACCTTTTTGAAGGTTTCTGTCTTGTTTTGCTTTACATGCCTTAATAGGACACATATGAAGATTCTATAATATTCAGTTTGACCTAACTTGTCTCTCTTAGATCCTGTCATCTGAGTAGCTACTTTTTCTCCTTATTACAAGCATTCTTTCAAAACTGCAGCTTTTTAGCAAGCAAATATTTCTAAGAAATTAACCTTGCTATCACTCACCCACCTTCTCCTTGAGTACATGTATGTGCACACACATGCACACCACTCACCTCCCACTGCCGTTTGTGGGAACAAGTGAACCTTTATTTGATTAACCACATCACTGTTTTACCCAAAGGAAATAAAGAGTAATGAGGCCCAGTCACAGGTGTGAAGCATCTTCACAGGTTTGTTAAAATCACTGTAGGTTAGACAGAAGCACTCCTAGTTCCTAGAGGGAGCAGAATTTAATCTTAAGTACTAAGCAACTGAGGGTGGTTGGGTTTTAAAAAGACATTGAATCTCTCTGAAGAGAATTCTTCTCTAAAGGAGTGTGGTGAACCCTAAAGGTAACTTCAAAGAATTTTTGTTTGTTTGCATTTATTCCTCAGTTTTTAAAACATCCAAAGTGTTTTTATGAAGAATCAGGAAGTGAAACACTACACATTTCTACTAGAGTATTTTGTTAGGGTAATTTTTCCTTTCCTAGAAACCTTTCTTTCTTCTCTTTAAACTGATCTACTAGTATCTCGCCAATGGGTTTCAGCTCCGGGCAAGTTCACTATGGATTCAATGTGACCAAAGAAAATGACAGCAAAACTTTCTCGGGGTGAAAGGGTTATACCCAACTTTATTTCCAGGAGGCAGGTCAGTCACTAAAATCCCGTTCATTCAGAGTGAGTCTGCATGTAGCAAGCCGGTCTCTGCCTCTGGGCCCCTCTGTCTGCAGTTGTCCTCTGGGCCTCTCTGCACAGTCGTCCTGCACAGCCGTCCTCTGGGCCTCTGTCCTCAGTGCTGCCACCACTCCAGCCTCTGCTCTGCTCTCCTGCAGCCTTGCAGCCCTGCCACTGTGTCTTGCGCAGAGTACTGGGCAGAGCTCTTTATATAGAGTCAACAGCCATGTATTGCCCACAGGTGTGTAGTGAGCTAATCAACCAGGGCCAGGTGAGAATCCTGGCCACAGGAACTCTCATTTTATCCACAGTGACTAAAGAAATGACAGTAAAATGTTCTTAGGGTGAAAGGGTTATACCCAACTTTATTTCCACAGTGGCAGGTCAATCACTAAAATCCCATTCACTCAGAGTAAGTCTGCATGCAGCAAGCCTGTCTCTGCCCCCAGGCCTCTCTGCCTGCACAGCTGTCCTCTGGGCCTCTCTGTCCACACAGCCCTCCTCTGGGCCTCTGTCCTCAGCACTGCCACCACTTCAGCCTCTGCTCTGCTCTCCTGCAGCCTTGCAGCCGTGCCACCGTGTTAGAACACTGGACGGAGCTCTTTATACAGTCAATAACGATGTATTGCCCATAAGTGTGTAGTGAGCTAGCCGACCAGGGCCTGGTCCACAGGAACCTTCATTTTATCCACTAGTAATAATCATGTACCCATGTCAGAAAATAAGGTTATTTTAAGCATCTGAAGTGGAAATGTCCTTGATTTCTGACTGTGCTGAACTCCACATGGTGCCTGGTGCATAAGCAAAAAGTAGACAAATTGGGCACCCCTGACACGGCTCACCCTGAGGGCAGTGTGCCTGGGGAAGGAGGGAGTCAGACAAGGGTACGTGACAGAGCCTCCAGTGTGACAACAGCAGGCCTTGAATCTTGAGTGCACAGCCAGGTTCAGAGCACGTGCTTTCCTTCCCAGGGTAGGAGCTTGAGCCAGCTGTCTTGGGGTTGGGAAGCACTCATTACCTCAGAGTGCAATGGGGAAAAGCTTCCTTCTTTCAAACTCTAAGTTTAGAATATATTTGAAGCCTCATATTTAGCCCAAATATTTGCCAGTTAATGCTGGCATGAGATGTTATGATTTTGCTTTCCCACGTTTCATCTGTCAAGAGTCAGTTGTGTTCTAGGGTAAGAATATTCCAGATGCTGGGGAGGAGGAGGAACCAGACCGATGCCTCATTAAGTCTCACAGCAAAGCATTTGTACTGAGGGGAAAAATCCTTACAGTTCTACAGTATTTTGTTAAGTGAAACTTTTCCCTTTCTTCCATTTCAGCTAAACAAGATTGTTGCTTGGTTAGATATCCATGCCTGCAGTTAATTTTTTGTTTTTGTTTTTTTTAAGAGATAATCATCCCCTTTTTTTCCCTAATTAAATGTTTTCATGAGTCTTCTATCAGTGGCTTCCTCATGTTAAAAACACCCCATAGTTCAAGCTCCTTTGACAATGACCTTAGGCTTGTGTTAACGTAATTGAAATAAAACCATCATGAGTCTTTCCCTTGTTTCCTTATCCAAACCACCCTTTTTTTTAAGGATTCCTTCATTGATATATAATTTATATACCTTAGAGTTCATCAATTTAGAGTGTACAGTTCAGTGCTTTTTGGTATCATAGACTTATGCAAACATTACTATCTACTTCACCACTATCATTACACCCTCCCCTCACTTCAAAACCCCATACCTATTAAGAGAGCCCCATTTCTCCCCTTCTAATTCCCTAGATGACCTACTTTCTGTCTCTGTGGCTTTACCTATTCTGGATATTTTATGTAAATGGAATCATACAGTCTTTTGGAATGGCATCTATCACTGAGCATGACATTTGAAATGTTCATCCATGTTGTAACACATTTCAGCACTTCATTCCTTTTTATTGTTGAATAATATTCTACTGTATAAACATATCACACCTTGTTTATTCATTCATCAACTGATGGGCATTTGAGTTGGTGATAGGCAGAATAGTAGCACCCAAAGATGTCCATGTCCCAGTCCTTGCACCTTACATGACAAAACGGATTTTGCAGTGTGGGTAAGGATTTGAGAAGACTATTTTGGATTATCTAGTGGGTCCAATCTAATCATGCAGGTCCTTAATAGTGGAGAGCCTTTCAAGTCTTTGGTCAAAGGGAGACATTGCTATGGAAGAAGGGGAGACACGGCTATGGAAGAAGGATCAGAGAGTTGCATCATTGCTGGCTTTCAAGGTATGGATGGGACAACAAGCCAAGGAATCGAGGTGAGTTCTAGAACCTGGAAAAAAGCAAGGAAACAAGTTCTCCTCATGTGCTTGTGGAAAGGAGTGAGGCACAAACAAAATTCGTATTATTTAAGACATTACATTTGTGTTAATGTTACAGCAACAATAGAAAAATCATACAAGATTGTTTCCATTTTCTGGCTTTTGTGATTTATGCTGCTATGAACATTTGCATTCAAGTATTTTTGTGTGGACCAATGCCTTAAGTTTTCTTGGCTATCTACCTACTGGTGGAATTACTGGGTCATATGGTAACTGTATGTATAATATTTTGAGGAACTGCCAGACAGTTTTCCAAAGTGGCTGCACCATTTTATATTCTCACCAGCAGTGTTTCCATGTCCCTGTATCTTCATCAACACTTGTTGTATTTGTCCTTTTTATTTTAGCCATCCTAGTGGATGTCAGTTGGCATCTCCTAGTGGTTTTGATTGGCATTTCCCTTATGATTAATGATGATGAGGATCTTTTCATACACTCTTTACCACTTACAAATCTTTGTAGAAGTAGCTATTAAAGCGCTCTGTCCACTTTAAAAATTGGGTTGACTTTTGATTGCTGAGCCATTCTTTATATATTCTGGATACAAATCCCTTACCAGATACCCAGATAACAAGTATTTTCTCCCATTCTATGGATTGTCTTCTCACTTTATTGATGGTGTCCTTTTCAGCACCAACATTTTTTAATTTTGGTGAAGTCCAACTTATTTATTTTTCCTTTTATCTGTTATGCTTAGTGTCGTATCTAAGAAACTATTGCCTAATCCATGGTCACAAAGATTTTATACCAAAATTCTTAAAGTCTTACCTCTTAACATTTAAGTCTGCAATTCATTTTGAGTAAATTTTTTTATATAGTATGGGGTAGGTATACAACTTCCTTCTTTTGTATGTGGGGATCCAATTTTCCTAGGACTTAGATGCAGTTTTGGGGTAGGGGTTTATTTTTTAATTTTTCTTTTTAGAAGAAACTCGTATATCAGCAGCTAAGTTAAGCTCTGAGTAAATGGATGGAGAATATATTTGCTGGAAAGGGTTGATCATAACTGGCTTCATGGCAGAAGTGAGAGAGCAGAGGACTAGGAAAGACACCAGCAGGTGTGTAGATGGACCGGGCACCTGAGCCTAGAGTAACAACTTAGATGCAGGTATTTTTAATTGAAAAATGTTAACCTCCGTTGATTGTTTTTGGGTGTTCAGGATGCTGCTAACACTGTGACTGTTACCTTATGTGGCAAAAGGGATTTGGGGAAACTTTTAAGGTTAAGGACCTTTTGAGATAAGGTTGTAATTAATTATCTGGTGGGCCTGATCTAATTACAAGTACTGGGGGAAGGCTGCTGCTGACGCTGTGCTCTGTGTTTAGAAGTTGCTGTGACAAGCTTTCCTCATAATCCTCTTCAATGAATAATGTGTAATGAGCCTCCTGTTCCTAGAATTGCCAATACTTTGTCATAAAATGTGTAAAATATAGGAAATCAAACACGCTTTTGGCTACCTCATCCTTTCTTTCACCTTTTCCTCTAGTTTCATTACTTCATTCCTGACAGTATTGGATTTTTTTCTGCAAAGTCATTACTTGAGTTGCCATGATCAGGAAGAGAGTTGAAAAAGATTTTAGTGTTATTTTTGCCTCACTAATGTAGAGTTGCTCTACTCCTCAACACCTTGGAAATTATGAAGTGCACCAGGGGCTCAACTGAATTTTCTTCCTCTTTCTCTGGTTTCCTTATACTATGCTTCCTGTGCAGAGATGGGTTTTCCTCTTATTCCTAAATCATAGGACTCCTCTCTGCCACCCCTAGTTTACCCATGTCAAAATGACCCTGGGAAGTAAGTGTAGTCTAGGAATGGCCATGTTTGTCCAGGTAGTGTCCAGGAGTAAACTACCTCTAATTCGTACACTGGAGAGGTCCTTGCTATGGAAAGGACAGTTTCCTAAAGCAATGCTCCTCAAACCTGAATGTGCATGCAGATCTCATGGGAATTTTATTAAAATGCAGATTACAAATCACTATGTCTGGGTGGAGCCTGAGACTCAGCATTTCTAACCATCTCTCAAGGGTGCTGATGCTGTTGGTCCATGGACCACATTGTGAGAAGTAAGATCACAGATTCTAGGGTTAATACAGGAGCTGCTAAAACTTTGGAGGCATTCTAATTCAGACCTTGAAGTCTCCCTAATTATTTTCTGGAAACCAGTGCAATGTTTTTAAATAAAACACAATATTTTCCTTATACCCTGCAAAACAAACCAACCTACTCCAGATACACTCCCACAGCTGCAATCAGGCAGAGGTTAAACTTCATGAAGAAATGAAAATCTGCCCTTAGAAAAACCTGCAGAAATTTTGCTGTGGCTAGGTACACAGTTGTACAGCTCAGATTTATATGCTACCCTACATGATATCTCTGGTCTTGTGGTGTTTTATTCACATCATGCCTCAGATAGGTGTTATGAGATTTGTGCTTTGGGGCAGTGTCCAACCAGCTCTCTTTGTTACAGATTTCCCCGGGTGATTTAAGAATGAAATGGTATAAGAGTTGGGCCCTTCTACCTGGTCAATTGTACTTTTCTTTAAGCTCAGTTAAGCTTTCATAGCAATTTTGACAGGTATCACCTAATTCCCTTATCATGAAACTCATAATCTACCCAAAATCCAGAGGTGGAACACTTCACATGTTACATATCTTGTGAATGATCTTACCTTAAGTTATACAGTGAAAGGTCAGGATGTACGTCTAATCATTAGAGTCTTTCTGTTTTTCCTGGTAGTTACTTCAAAATCAGAGCTGTAACTGCACAACTATCATAGTTAAAACACAGTGATTTTTTTAAAAGAGATATGCATCTGTCTGTTGTATGAAGCCAGTTTTAAAATGTCAGTGAACTTGAAAGTACAAACTGCAATTTTTGGTTCTTTTATGATCATTGCAATTTACTATGCCTATTGTATCTGTTTTTGTTCTGCAAAACTTAGTCCAGAGAGAGATTGATTGGTTGATTGATTCACTAATTCATTTATTTATTCCATTTCTACCTGATAAAGATTATTTATCTTAGAGCTGAATTGAATAGCTAGTTGAATATGGTTGTGGGTGTGCATACCGATTGGAAGTGGGGAGGAAAAAAGGAGGATCATTTATTAGTATAAATATATGACTTCATAGTTTATGCTAATTTCTGTAACTGAAAAAAAAAAATGTCTTTATAATGTGGGTTCTGCCGTAGGAGAAGGATAAAGCAAATTAGACATTTGTATTTCCCCTTACTGGGCTATATTTAAAATTCCAGATGATTTACCTAATATGTTGTTTTTGGTCAGTAAGAACCAGTGACTTGTGGTGGCTGGCTTAGGATGAAATACAACTAATAGTAATAATAGTCATCATAATAATAGTAATGCCAGTGATAGTAGTAATCATGGCACTATTTTAGTAGTGAAGGAATCTGAGCCCTCAGCATGTGTGTAAGGTCTGGGTAGCTCAGTGGATCACTTGTTTGGCATCCGCTTGGCTACTTGGCTCTTGAAAGCCTCACTTCTACCACTCATTGAAGGAATTGAAGCAGAGTATATTCTGAACAATAGCTGAAATGAAAGAATTTGCAAAGCCATCTCTTTGTGCTCTTACCTCAATGTGGTCATTTTTGTTCTGTCCCTATGCTGAGGTATTTGCAGGAATGCTAGGAGCTCCAAGGCTGAGCGTGACAGACAGTAATGGCATGAAACACAATTATATACTTTTGTTAAGCTCCAAGAAACAGAACAAATTGTCCTCATCCATGATTCCCCTCTCTCATCCTTGAAAAAGACAGTGTAGACCCAAGCATTGTGATACATAACTTGTGGCAATAATGGTGAAAGCTGAGGGAGACTCATGTTTTGCTTTGCAGTAATTCTGCTGCCTGGTACTTACGTTTGAAGCAGTTGAGGAAATAATTTTCTGAAAATGAGCAAAAACTATTAAGCTAAGAGCTACATCCTTTGACAATGTATGAGTGGAATACTGAAGTGCAAAAGCAAATACAAAATATGCAGGAAAAAAGGAAATAGGCAAAAGCAAGCTCAAAAGCCCAATCCCTCATTGCAAATCCCACTGGAAAATTATGCACGGGCCATTCTTCTAATAGACATTTTAAATGCAAACGTTAAGACAAGGAAAGTCTTGGTAACAACTTATATAAAATTAAGGAAGGGATAGATAGACATCTGCAGTGAGTCACTTGAGTCCAAGGCAGAGCTGTAAGGGGCTGTGGCCCTGGCATGTAGGATAGTCTCTTGTGGTCTTTTAAATAAGGAAAAATAGGGGTGGATATCTTCTTTAGGAAGCAGGTGGACAGTACAGTGAGCCTGTATTTGAATATGTGTAATTGTTGTGAGGTCATAAATTTTCTTCCATTCACTTATAAAGGACAGCTTAAGAAATCATTGTATTAGCTGGTATCAGAGACAGTTTAAAAACAAAGCAAAACAAAAAGCTAAGCATTTGCTGATCCATCTGAGATGTAACATCACACCACAATCTTGTGATGAGAATATATAAAATGGTGTCACACACCTTAATAATGAAGTGGCACTAATCTACCCTACCAAAAAATAAGGGGAGGATCAAAGATAATGTTAAAATCTGTCTTGTGACCAAAACTTGGAAGATAGTCCTTGAATGAGAAATGATCAACTAGAAAAATATTGACCCCAGCCACCAGAAATTAAGATGTAAGATGTACGATAAAATCTGTAAGAAATTAAATAATTTCATTTCTTGCAACACAGTGGCATATTTTCTGATACCAGCTTTAAGGTCTGTTACCAAACAACAATGAAACACGATGTGTAATTTGCTTAAGGCTCAGTAACTCCCTGTAACTCTGAGAAGCTGAAGAATGCCGCATCGAAATCACAACCAAGGCACAGCAGAGGAAAGTCATCTGCCTGTCGACTGCAGCGTTTCTTGAATCCTTACCTGTATCTTCAGACCCCTTCCCTGGAAAAGGAACAATATTTTTCCATATACTGGTGACCTCTTGTCCCAATTCTACTTGGTGCTGGTGCTTTTCTGAGACTGGCAAAACTTGAACCAAGGCAGCAGAGTTGTTTCAGAGACTGAAAAGATTTCATTACTCATTGTTTTTAATTGTTATCTTTACAGCCCAAGCTTAAAGATGGAAAGTAGATGACAGCAAAACAATTTACTTTTCAAATTGACCATTTAAAAAATTTCCAGTGAAAACTCATTGCCTAAAAGATTCTCCTGTCCTTCAGCTGAGTGTACCTACGAGCCAGGGTTCTGAACAAAGTCACAGTTGTCCTCTTCTCAGTAGGCCAGGACTTGCACAAAGTTGACCTACTCTTTCTTAAGTGATCTTGTTTCCAGAATGTGGCCCCTCAGTAAGAAGGGAATGATTCCTCTTTGGCCAGTGAGGGGGTAAGGGATGTGACAGCTGAGCTACTTTTTTTCAGTTGGAATCCCCTCAGTGGAAGTTCTGTTCAATACCTTCAAAATAGTTTGAATTTCATACCCCTTAATGATTCTGTGAATAACTCCCTAATTACACCCATCTCTCGGCGGTGTTTGCAACATTAAGATTGTGTTCATAACTCAGGATGGTAAAGAAGAGATTATGTAAGTAAGAAAAGGAGCACAAATTCCAATTAACACAGTGCTGGCTTCTCAAAGTATCTATGTGGTGAAGAATGCATTTTTAAATTTACAGTCTGCTTGGGCCAATGCTTTAGTAAAATAGAGTTAAAATGAATTGCTAGAAAACAGAAAAGAAAAAAGCCAAGTCCACATTTTTTTCAAATACTATTAGATTCAACAGTGATAAAATTACTCTGTCCAAGTTCTACAAAAGTTTCCAAATGCCCTTCCTCAGTTTCTGCTCTTCCTGCAGAACAGTTCCAGACAGGGCAGTGTGTGGTCCATCCTTTGAGTAGCACTGATCTAATGCATTCACATTTACTTCCTCATACCCGTTGCCATTCTACTCACCCAGTCATTTCTCCCTATTACAACACCAGATGGTGCTACCAGGTGATTTTCAATAATATCCATCTAGATATCTTTCATACCTTAACATAATTTTTAGGTCTTGAATTATCTAATTGAAAAAAGCTAATCTGTAACATTAGTTTTGCTTAAAATTGCTTGTAAGACTATGGAAAAGTAATCCTATTAAATTCTATTCTCACTCATGTCTCAAGCAGTTAAAAAATGTTTGAATTCCATGAATTCCTTCTTAAGATTGAGTACATAGAAATATAGCATCACTTTATGCAGAATAGCAGCATGAGGAACCTTCCCTCCCATACACTGCCTGCCATTGGTGGTTAGGTGAGCTGCTCTTTTCCCATTGCAAAAGTTGAACAAGGTGGTCATGTTTCACATGGAAATAACTCAAGGGTGTATGCTGGCTGTCTTAGAATGTTTGGAGGGCTGCCATGTGCCCAGGAAGATTGAATAGCCAGCCCTCTGTAACTGGAGAGCACACAGACCAAAGAGTAGAAGTCAACACAGAGGCTAATTTCAAGAAAATAAAGGATTTCCAAACATGCACACACAAATTTAAAGGAAGATAAGGGGGAACTGAAGAACTCTTCTGGACTTTCTCAGCTATGTGAGGCTGCTGGGGTGAGGATGATGATGATAGAGTACAAGTTTGGAATACTTCAAGGAATGGAAGAAGACCTTGCAGTGGAGGAAAGGGATCTCCAAGTATCACTGCCCGGCAAATGACGGACAGTTGGGCTAGTGGAGAAAGGTGCTCGTACTTTGGGTAGATTGGTACGGCTGACCACTAAGGTGCTTTCCATGTTTGGGGAGTGGAGATAGCATCTGTCCTCTCTAATGGAGGCATCCTACTGCTTGGTTTCTTTCTATCTTTTTCCATCTTTGATTATGAAATAGCTAAACCTATAGAAAATACCACATTTAATACTTTGCCATATGTGCACTCGCCCTCTCGCTCTCTCTCTCTTTTATTATCATGGTACAGCTAAAGCCTTGTTGCCACCAGTCCACTTATCCCTCTTCTCTCCTTCCCTAAGGCAGCCACTAAATTGTTCAGAAACCTTTGACCATTGGTTGTGCAATTCCTCTGTTGTAAGGGATTTTATTTTTACTTTCTGACTTTTATATAGCCACAGCAATTCTGAATGGTGATGAATTTTTAGCATCTCTATTAACAATAGAGGTAGAAGTAGTTGTGAGGGCTTTGCTAGGATTTACATTGTTAAATGTAGGCTATAGTAACTAAGTATCATATACAGGTGTTTTCTAGTCTTGTGATCTGCTACTTAAAAAAAATTGTGAGTTGCAAAGTTTACTCTGATTAAAGATACGTATTTTAATCCAAAGTATATAAAGAACTCATATACTCAATACCAAAAAATAATAATAATGATCCACTAAAAAATGGGCAGAGGACCTGAATAGACATTTTTCCAAAGAAGACATACAAATGGCAGACACATGAAAAGATTCACAGCATCACTGATCATCAGGGAGATGCAAATCAAAACCCCAATGAGGCTGTCACCTCACACCAGTCAGAATGGCTAGTATCAAATAGACAAATAAGTATTAGTGAGTATGTGGAGAAAAGAGAACTCTTGTACACTGTTGCTGGGAATATAAATTGGTGCAGTCACTATTGATAACAGTATGGAGGTTCCTAAAAAATTTAAAAATGGAAATACTGTACAACCCAGTAATTCCATTTCTGAGTATTTACTGAAAAAACAAAATCACTAATTCAAAAAGATACATGCACCCCTATGTTTATTGCAGTACCAATTACAATAGCCAAGATAAGGAGGCAACTGAAATGTCTGTTAACAGATGAATGGTGGTACATATATACAACCATTTTATTCATTGCAATACAACAGTATTTTTTACCCATACAAAAGAACAAAATCTTGCTATTTGCAACAGCATGGATGGACCTAGAGGGTATTATACCAAGTGAAATAAGGCAGAGAAAGACAAATACTATGTTATTTCACTTATTTGTAGAATCTAAAAAACAATTTAAAAAAAAAAACAAAAATAGACTCACAAATACAGAGGACAAACTAGTGGTTGTGATAGAGAAGTGGGTGAATGAATGAAATAGGTAAAAGGAATACAGAGACACAAACTTCCAATTATAAAATAAACAAGTTATGGGGCTAAAAAGTACAGAATGGCAAATACAGTCAATAATATTGTAATAACTTTGTATGGTGACAGATGATAACTACGCTTACCATAGTGAGCATTTAGTAATGCATATGATTGTCAAATCACTATATTGTACACCTGAAACTAATGTATATCTACTATACTTCGATTTTTTAAAAATCCAGATTTTAATGCCAAGAATGCTATATGTAACCTGTCTTAGGTAGACCTACAAAGGACTAGAAGATGATAATCATAATATATTCACTCATACAAATAGTTTATTCAATTCCTTCATCCACATTTAGATCAGTGTTTAAAGGGCATACATACTCTGCCAGCCACCATACGAGGCTTCAAGGATACCAGCCAGTGAATAACACAGATAAAAATCCCTTTCATAAAATTGACAATCTATTTAGAAAGGAGACAAATAAATATGGTGGAGAAGAAATATCTGGAGTGAACTGGAGTGTGGGTTGGGACCAGGGGTGGCTGTTTTATTTTGGGTAGTCAATAGAGGCCTCTCTAACATGGGGATGGGTGAGCAGTAGCCCCAAGGAAATGAGGGACAAGTTGTGGTCATGTTAGGGAGCTGCAAGTGGAGGCACCTTTAAGTGGGAGTGTGCTTCATGTTGGGAAAGGAGGCACTGTAGTTGAGTGATGTGAGCTGGGGACAGGCAGCAGGAGAGGCGGTGAGAGGTCACAATTGCTCCTTGAAACAGTCCTGTGGGAGAGCTGACGCAGCCATTGTTATGCCCATTTTTACACAAGAAGACTAACTCCCAAATAGGGACAACTCGCTCAAGGTCACACTTGCTAGTTGATGACAGGACCAGGACTAGCATGTCTCCTGGATTCCAAAATATTGCAATTTATTAATGTGCTGGGACGTGATCTTGTCTTACCTTTTTACCTTTGTAACCCATTCTTTCATCGAATTGCATAAACTCCCTGGACCTCAGTCCCTGCATCTGTAAAATGATGGGAATAAAAGTCAGGGTTGTAGTGAAATCCCAACAGGGTGATGCTGGCCTGGCCCTGTAAACAAGCTCTCTGCACATGGTGGGCTGCTAGCGGGGGACTACTCCTGTGGCCAGGGATCCTGATGGGCAAGTTTGTACATTGCCCTCCTTCAGGGCCACACCTAAGTAGCCAATGTGTAGCACTTTGAGTTCTATAGATGCTCCATATTCTGATTTTTCAAGAATAGGAGAAGTAAAGTTAAATGCAGATTCTAACAAATTTAGAAAAACTTTAGTGACTCTGCATCTCCCTTCCTGCTTGTCCCTAAAGATAACACAGAAATGTAAATATGGTTTGATGTATTTAGCTGGCGCAAATTCTACTGCTGTGTATTTTACCTATTCTTATTTTAAGTGCATTTTCCTTTGTAAGTTCTTGTTTTCTTTTATGTTCTGCCAAATCCCATTAACTTGTCCTTGAGCTGTGTAATCTAGAGTTTAGCTCCTGTGGGTGATGGGGTTTGCCTGAAGTGAAACCTGGCTGCAGGGAGTAATGAGCCCCTTTCTGCAAATGCTGTGGCTCAGCCTCTGAGTCCTGCAGTGCTGTTGGTTCTCCTGAAAGCACATGCTAGCATGGCAGTCCTGGCACAACCTGACCCTTTGGAGGAAACTGGAGGTTTGCAAATTTCAGGTCTGTTATGGTCTGAGTAGTGGGGGAAGACCATTTGAAGAGGCAGACCTGGGAAAGAACTTTCTGGGCAGAAAGGACAAAAAGTTTGATGCAATTAAGGTACCAAAGACAGGTCAGTGTGGCTAGAGCACAGCAGGAGTGGAGAAAAAATGCAACTGACGCAGTAGGTAGGTCCAGGTCCTGTGAGGCCTTGTCAACCATGACATGGAACCTAGATTTTTATCATATA